CGTGAACCATATTGATGACAGACAGTTTAAGTTCGTTTGCGTTAAGTTGTAGATCATTATATAGCTATAATGTTGAAGTACTGGCCGCATAAAATCTGAATTACGAATGCATATGAAGACTGTGACATAAACAGAGAAAAAATTACGAGGGAAAAAGCAACAAGCAAAGAATTAGGTATAGAAAAGATTTTTCCCCGGCATGTTTAAGTTTGCATGGAACCGCAGTTGTATTGCTTTTGATTAGGTCGAAGTTTAAATTTATTTTTATGAGAATTTACTGACCAAAAATACCCTTGAATAAGAATTCTACTTCGTTTATTTGAATTTTGAAAATACATCAGCTCAGATATTATGGGACACGTTCATTGTCCCTGTTCGGTAAAATGCATCTTTTCTTTTTCGAAAGTTATTATTAGTTAATATATCCTAGATTAACGCATTGTATGGTTTTCTATTTTCCATCATTAAAAGAAAATAACGCCAATACTTTTCTTGATATTAAACAATGCTTTTCTTGATCTTAAATTTCCATATTGTATTCTATTTTGTTTTCCATTTCTTTTCCTTTAAAAAAAGCATTTTCATTTTTGTACTTCATCAAATGTGAAGATCTACTATGTAGACATGGAATTTTTTCCCTGCTCAAAAAGAAAAGTGTTTTTGCTTCTTACTCCAATTAAAGGTAAAGAGAGAAGATGACTAAAAATATTATTAATATTATCTAACACTCATCCATAGTATCTTATATACACTTCGAGACTCAATGAAGATGTATAATTAGAACTTCAGTTTCCTTTATTTTAAATATTTTGTTTATCTATTTTATGGTACCGTGCAATGGGCGGGGGAGTGGAGTGGCACAAATTCAACACAATTTTTTTCGTTTCCTATTTGTAAGGAGGAGTAATGAAGCAAATATGAGTGATAATATTGACCTGTAAGGACATACTTTCAGTTTACGCGCGCGCACACTAAGACATCAACTTGACAAATAAAAACAAACAAAAATATTAACTGGTAAGAGCTTCATATTGCAGCAACTTAACACTTACAAAATGCTCAGCATTACTCTCTCTCTGTCTGTCTGTCTGTCTGTCTGTCTGTCTGTCTCTCTCTCTCTCTCTCTCTCTCTCTCTCTCTCTCTCAACACACATACACACACTCTAAAGATTTTACAAAATGTATACAATCTATTTTTTCTTCATTTTATCTCAGAAATGGTAAAACCATTCCAGATTTAATGGCGTGGACATTATGTACATGGCGAAAAGGAGGGAAGGAATATTTTATGTGCTGTTCTTTTTGTTCTTGAATTAGAAAACCAATTACAACAAGTGATCTTTATTCACTTTATTCAAAATAAGTGCAATGTAGAATAAATAAATATACAAAAATAAATAAATAAATAAATAAATAAATAAATAAATAAATAAATAAAGATCAGTAAGTTCTCAAGTTCTCAAGTAATGCTTGGTTAACTGAAACAATATTATTGCGATGTACCACAAGGTTCTAATTTAAGTAAACAGTACATCAATGTATCAATTCAAACTATTCCCCATACACCTCTGCACACTGTTTGATTATCCATGTAGTTAATGAAAGTTTGTATTCATTTCATTTCGTGTGTTGGAGCGAAATCAATGCATTATAAAGGGTGTGATAAAGTTTGTAGAATGCTATCCTTCAGGAAATCGGTCAAGATGGCGGATTTATGCGCTGGTGTGTTGTCAAGAAGTAAATGGATTCATGGGGAACAGGTGTGTCGTCGGGTGGATCTGTAGTGTTTCACAACTTTCGGCATCACTTTGGGGTATAACAGTTTCCATTTACCATGGATGGACGAACCAGGCACAGGTACATGAATGAGATCGTCTTTTACATAAAACAATAATGCGTATGAAACTCCCTTGGGCTATTTGTGATCTCTGCTTGTTTTATCCAGTGCAAACATTATTATTTTCTCTCCAATTTTTATCACCTGTGACAATCTTTGGCCACAGTGTTCACATTTAGTGAGTAGTTTGTTTTTGGCGAGTTCATTATGAGACTGTATTTCAACAGCCATCAACAGTCCCATCTTGCATAAACGTTTCTAAGCTAAGAATGATTCTTCACTGCAATACAAACAGCTGAGAAATTAACATCGGTGATAATAGAAGTACATTCTACCTTGTCTATATACGTTGCCCTCTTCACCACAGCCATTTACCCTTCACCAATCTGGCATAGGTCATTTTTCATTGATTGGCGACAACATTTAAAACGATGAAACAACCTCGGTATTTTTGGAGATGACAGAATTACACCCGTCAACTTAAGGCATGTCACCCATGATCAAAGGCGTAACGAGGACATATGGCGCCCACGGCAAGAACTAAAACTGTGCCCCTATCAAAGCTTTGTTTTGCTCACCGATTTTGTGCCCACCCACCCCCTCCCCTTCAAGTGGCGCCCAAGGCACTTGCGGTGTCTTGCCACACCCTCTCTAAGCCTCAACCCTTGATATCAGTCAGAGAGTGTCTGAAGAGAGCCCAACTAGAGAGTATACTCTTTGCTCGATAGAAGAATTGTTTCTCCTTCTTCTATATTAATAAGTCAGTGTCATTTACATATGTTACGTCGGGCACGTGTCTGCAGTATTGTAGGTGCAGCTTCGGAAAATTTTTATGCATGCTATTTTGTCTAGAAATCGACTTTAATGACAAGGTTAAAACAAACAACAGTTTTGACGAAACATTCTGCAATTTTTTATTCAAATATTCCTCGTACATACATACATACATACATACATACATACATGCATACATACATACATACATACATACATACATACATACATACATACATACATACATACATACATACAGACAGACAGACAGACAGACATACATACATACATACATACATACATACATACATACATACATACATACATACATACATACATACATACATACATACATACATACATGCATACATACATGCATGCATAACATAACATAACATAGTATAACATAACATAACATAACATGAACAAATAAAATGATAAGAGAATACTACTTTTCAATTACCTTTCTAACGAATGTAAATAAATATAGTATTCTTGAAACATTAAATTCAGTAAATAAATAATTAAAACGTACGACGTAACTGAACTGACAGTAACGTGATATCAGGAGACTCGACTTGAAATACTTATGACACCCTGTTGTTTACTGAATTTGATAAAGTATTAATAAATTATCACAGAAAGAAAAAGCTTGATGAGTTTTTATAGAAACAATTTACTTTCATAATTGGACACAAATTGTCTCTTAAAGTAGTTACCATTTTGTGCCGTTCTTTTTTTTAATAAAAAATATATTTATTGCAATACCATTATATCTTAAACTTCTATTATAAACATTATATCCAAAGTTTGAGATACATTGAACATATGATGTCTGAAGTTTGAGATGCATTATGTGATACCGTATATACTTGCTTATAAATCAGATCTAACTGCGAAGGTTTTTTTACATCCCACTTACCGTTCATGACCGCATATAAGTCGAGTCGAACTGCATATGTCCTGATATGCCATCGCATAATGAGCCTGCCGATCAGGATCTATGTTTTTTGTTCTACTGATTACTCCTAAAGAAATGCATATACCAAGATTTTACGAAAAGCATGTTTTATGACGAAATATATGCAGGAGCACAAAGCTCATTCTTGGCATTGTAATCCACCTGACAAAATACATTAGGGTAGATATTGCTAATACTGTAAATTATGGATAAAACTGCCATAGCGAATGCCGCCACGGAAGGAATAACTTTACCATTTTTTTACCACTGTTTTCCTAATTAAAATTGTTCTGACTTCTTATGTCTGTATGAGATCATATTTTGCAGGGCTCAGCAGAGATTGGGAATATGTATTTCATAACGTGACTTAGTATCTTTCATTTCATGATATTCTACTGTGCAAGAACTATCACAAACACTCTGATTTTTATAATAGCTTGTGCATTATTTAACTATAATTAAGATAAGCATGCAATAAATTTACATCGTAAAATGGTTGAGGCTAAGTTCCCGTAAACAAGAAGTTTTGCACTGCTTACGACCATATCATTATGTTCTATCATATTTAAATTTAGTCTTATGGATAAGAGTAGATTATATTTTTTACCTGGCTGAAATTCTCCAGTTTTACACCGATGCATATGAAAAATTTTGTTAATCTGTTTATATGTTACGCATGCACAAAGAACATAATTGTTTCTCTTGGTTACCTTTAATCTTCAATTGTTACTTGAGGAGTTTGGTCTTCGATGCTTCAGTTGATCGTCATTTCTCTGATAATCTTTTTGTACATGAATCTCAGTCAAGGACCCTATTAACAACGTAGATGTTGTTAAAACTGTTTGACTTGTAATTCAGAACATTAAGGCCAGTGCACATCGAACGGTAATTTTCTCTCCAATAATCCGTTACCATGGGAGGCAACTACAGAGTGACTGTACACTTGAAAGAAGTTGCATACACCAATTCTTGACTCTGTGGGGAGATAATTTATATTATTGCATTAGTTTCTGGTTCATTATATATTTAGTTTTAAAACTTCATGTGTTAAACTGTTCATGTGTAGGTATTTAATGACTCGACATACACATTGGAGTAAAGTTTCGCTCACGAGTAGTTGCAGTTTTTTCTGAAGAACCCGTACTAAGAGTATATTAACCATGTTTGCAAACCAAATTAAAACCATAGTTTAATTCAAAGAATGAACCAACTATTGTCTCTTTTCTAATATATTGCGTGCGCATATTTTGGAATTTTTAACGTAGCTTTAATAATGTTTCAGTCATATCTTTACGATGTCTCCAGTGTGGCATGTTGTTCCATTCAGTCACATTATCCTGACACCAGGCCGACCAATCCTAACACTAACTCCTTAATGATGAACGCAAAGCGAAGCAGCTGCTAGCACAGTTTTTATAAATCTTTGGTATGATTCGGCTCGGTTTCGAACCAGCGACCTCCCACTTCCAAGGTCGACGCTCTAACCACTAGACCACGGAGCGGTTTAGCTTATTGCAAACATTGTATTCAAAGACCTGAGAAATTGTGGTAAAAATTAACAACATATCATACATCTGAATCAGGAACTATTTTTTATTGATGGAGTTCAATGACAAATTAACAAGTATGTCAATAGCATTCACACAGATTTGCATCCAGCCATGCATCCACGTAATCATTGGTCCATCTATCTATCTATCTATCTATCTATCTATCTATCTATCTATCTATCTATCTATCTATCTATCTATCTATCTATCTATCTATCTATCTATCTATCTATGTGTTGAAACAGTCGCACGTGACTATTAAGCAGCAGGTGGTTAGTGGTCAATAATAAAGGAAGAAAGATAGCGATAAGAGAGAATGACGAGTCATGATAGGAAACTCTGACACATCCTGGTACCGTAGCGGCGACGAGATAGACGAACGTCTACCGGCATAGAAATGATAATCACTGGGTCTTACTTGTAGCTGACAAGTTCATTAGAATGCGATTTTGGAAAGTTACTTCTTTTGAGATACCAAATCAACTTCTGAAATTGTTGTTGTTAATTTGTTCCAAGTCGCTAGTGTACTTGGAAAGAAGTTGAACTTAAAACAATTTGCTGATGCTTATATTAGGATGAACTTCTTCCTGTGATTTTCCTAGCTTGGCTATATGCTAATGTTGAGTATTTGTTCACTAATTTGTTTACTATCTTGTATAACATGGAGAGGTGGGCCATTTCTTGCCTGGATTCAAATGATTTCCGCTGGAAATCATCCAACATGGCACGGACTCTGCTAGTATTTCTATACCCATTTGTGGTACATCTAGCTGGTCTCTGCTGAACCATTTCAAGGAAAGGTCATACAAGCGAGACATTTGCTGTACATTTTACATCTTCGTTGCAGATTTGGAGGTTTCGGCGCAGGAAGCAACGGTTGATATTCATTTTTTCACCATTTTGTCTATGTGACGTTTCCAAGTGAGATCTTTGGCGAATTCCAACCCAATATATTGTGTTGCTGCTCAGCAGCTAGCTTGAATCCCTTGTAATTGGATATGATTGGAGATTGCCTCCTGCAAACTCTTAGGGTACTGGATATTTTTTTGGGGGGGAAAGGACATGCCTGAAGTTCTTGCCGAGAGAGCCAGTTAGTTCAGGTTCTCTTGTAGGATATAGCAATCCGTGGTGTTTGGCGTGGTTCACAGTCACTGTTTATTTGTAACCATTTATAATTAAGTATTAATCTTTTGAATTTTAAAACAAATTATCGATATACATATAAAATAAAATAAAATAAAAATTCTTCCGAAATCTTATCACGCATTGCAAAATCTCGTTTTTGACAGTACCAAGCATTCTTGCCTTGAATATGCACGTACTTGCTTATACAAAGGCGTATATTTCAGTCATTCAGAACGACAAGTTCACGTAGAAGACTAACAGTTCCATAGGTCGTTATTAAGTATGTTCTGGCATGACAGCTTTTTCCCATTAATTTTCCAATCTATTTAACATTACATAGGAAATTATTCCAAAATATTTGAATAAGTCTGTTGCAATTATTGGGACTGCTTGTTTTTGAAGCCTGCAAAATTAGTCTAGTCGGGAACTGGTACAATTTCCCCGTCAATCATTGGAAATATATAAGCATTATAATACAGGATTCTAAAATCATTAATCAGGTACCTTTTTATTTACCAATTGCAAGGTTAGATGTGATGGACGCACAGACACGGTCTACTTTTTTCTTACTTAAAACTTGTTTCAGTGATTACTCAAATTATTTTCTCATCCTTTACATTTCATTTGCAGTATTATTATTGTACAGTGATATATCTTTCTTTCCAACTTTCCAACTGTGCAAGTTTGTTTTTTCTTCTTTGTTTAAAATATATTCCCATAAGTAAGCATTTCTTCCTAGATTAGTTGGTAATAAATAATCTTAGTGTACTTTGATCACTCCTCCATTAACGTAAGGTGAGAAGACTGTTTGCATCCAAGGGTTAAGACCTTACCACGTGATACAAAAAAATTGTTGGACCATCTGCAAACATGTCAGCAATGTTGTATGTTGAGTGTTTAGTGGAAGATCATTGATAAATGAAAGAAAGAGGTGGGAACACCTTACGGAGCCTTGGGGAACACCTCGTCTTAAATAACATGGGATACTGTGAACATTTCTCGTAGAGAGATTTGTTGCTTCCTATCACATAAATGTGATTGAAACCATTATATTTTTTGTGTGCATGGCCATGAAAATTATGGCCACGAAGCTTACTTAGGATAATGTCATGATAAACTGGATCAAAGGCTTTTTTTAAAGTCTAAAAATATTTCGTCGGTTGGGTTACCATTATTCATTTATTCCAGCTATTAATTAGATAATTTTGTGAGAGCTGTTTTGACATGAAAGTTCTTTGCGGAAGCCTAAGTGTTCCTTGTTGAACAGGGAGGAAGTTATTAATGTGGTTATAATGTGGTTATAAACCAGTTTCACTACATGTTTTTTTTTTAAAGCATATTTGATAAAGATCGTAACATAGACTTATGTCTCTAATTTCCAGGGTCACATCAATATCCTTGCTTTAAGTTAAAGAATTTTTAAATCTACTTTAATTTTTCTGTGAATACACATGAATTAATGCTCCGGTTAATCAAGTGGGTAACAGGCCGTGCTGATAACAGTAGGACGTTTAGTCCCAAATCATATATATCACACGTTATGTGTTGAATATCATTCACTGTTAGATTACGTACTTTCTATATTCGTAAACTACTAATTAAATAGTCAGCTGTCTTGTACTGATGAAGCTATGCCGCCATTATTACTCCACTGAGCTGGGATACGGTGCTTTTTAGGTGGATTCAACTAAAAGCGAGATGGTTTCTTTGCTTAAATATAACTGTCAAAGCAACTTGTCTTTGATTTATTTATTCAAAAGTTTAATTCCCCCCCCCGCGATCCGGTGGACTAGTGGTTAGAGCGTCCGCCTCGACAGCGGGAGGTCGTGGGTTCGATCCCCGGTCGAGTCATACCAAAGACTTACAAAAATGGTACTAACAGCTGCCTCACTTGGCGCTCAGCATTAAGATGTTAGTATTAGGACTGGTCGGCCTGGTGTCAGGATAATGTGACTGGGTGGGTCATCATGCTACATGCCTGCGGCATGATGCCCCAGTGCTAGACATCACTATAAACTGCCACACTGTAGACATCGTAGAGATATGACTGAAAACTTGTTAAAGCTACGTTAAAAATCATAATCACATCAGATCACTTTATTCCCCCATTTTCTGGGTTCTCTTGTTTTTATTTGTATGACAGTTATTAATTTTATGTTTAGATTCTTTTATTTCAGAAGTTCTCCTTTTACTGTTAATACTGATTTTTTACGTGTTTTTGTTTTGTGGTGTATGTTTAGGACCTTGTTCCGGTGGCCTAAGTGGTTAGATTGTCCGCCTTGGATGCGGGAGGTCGCGGATTCGAACCACGGCTGAGTCATACCAAAGACAAAAAATGGTACTAGCAAGCTGCTGCACTAGGCGGTCAGCATTAAGAAGTTAGTGCTAGCTAGATCAGCCTGGTATCAGGATAATGTGACTGGGGCGGGACGTGATGCTACATGCTGCCCTAGTGCTGGACATCACTATAAACTGCCACACTGCAGACATGGTACCGATATAACTAAAAAATGTTTAAAGCTATGTTAAAAAATCCAAATCTCTCTCTCTCTCTCTCTCTCTCTCTCTCTCTCTCTCTCTCTCTCTCTCACTCTCACACTCTCACACACACACACACACACACACTTTATTTAGAATGTGCAAACCATATATCATGAGTATTGCTTTTTGTCAAAGGTGTTTGGAAAGGCATTTTAGCCAAATTCTCCAGCCTAAGATATGTGTCACAAATACAAACATATTTCACTAAAGCATTACTAATATGTGCATGACTAATTGTAGAAACAAATGTCAATTGTTCCCTACACGTGAACTGTCAGACACATCGTAAAATCCAGTTTCGAAAACACCTTTGCATGCATGTACACCTGTCATACTCGCAGTCACTGAATGTGTTGCTGCACATAGTTTAACATAACAATTATAGCTGAGGGGCTTACATTCTTCTAAAGTATGTAACGGTCAGTCCCTTAAGTTTCTTATTTAATCTTTAGGAAACAGGATTCCGTGATAACCGCCTACAATGCAATATCACGTAGTCTATTTTAGATTTTATAAATGCCTTTTCCGCATAACATATTGTACTTCCACATTTGATCACAGAAGTTTAAAAAACATTTACCATTCATTGCGCACTATATAATATTTACCTATATCACACCCACCCATCCTATGAAGCCTGTTTGCATTACCCATCAGGTGTTAAAATATAAACGACTTTTATGATCTTGTGTACGTTTGTTACCGTGAATATGTCAAAACTTCAAGACAAGTGCAAACGTGACGTCTTCCTGGATTGTTTATGCTCCAACCACTGTACCAGTCTCCAAATCAGCTTTTGAAAAAGAAAGATCGCTACCTAAAGCAAATGGCTATCTTTGAAAGATAAATATGTAACCTTCAAATAGAAGAGCATTTACGGTTTACACCTACCATGATATATTAGAGGCCCAAGGCAACACTACGGTTTGGTATCAGCGTACATGCGGCAGATGTTTCTCCAATTAACAATATACTAGCTAAGCAGAAAATATAGGTGTGGAAAAACGTACTGTGTACTGTGTACATCAGTGGTGAACAAATTATATAGAATATCTGGCATAGACATATCGTATGTAGCCGTGTACAGAACGCACGCGCAGACTGAAAGCAACCGGGACTAAGATCTGCTATCGATCAAAATCATGAATCCGACATACACCGATCGCCCAAATATTCATTCCCAGCAAATCATGCATTTAACTCATTAGGTAGAAAGTTTCTAAAATTAGAAGCTCAGAGTTCAACATTGATCAAGATCTACCTCAAAATTAGGAGTTTACATG